AAAAAAAAGAAAAGAGTAGGATATCGACAAAGAAAGTTTATTCATCTTCCTTAACCTGAGATACATGCGTGAAGGCGGACTTCTACGCGAACATGTACACGTTCCTGTCTAACTTAACGGACCTTACGTACAAAATGCAGGGCTTAACAGTGATATATGTACCTCGAGAGGGTAGCGACCTGACCGAGGAGGACAGCCTCGATAAGGAGTTGGTCAAGAGGCTGGAGAGCGTGGTGGCCTACTGGACCACCCAGATCAGGATTACACTCTCGGACCAGGACCAAGCAACACCCAACGAATTGTTGTGTCTCAACGACGAGTACGAATTTTGGATTTATCGACGTTAGTAACTATATTCCAAGGGTATATCTCGCGCTTGCAGTTGGAATTTCCAAACCCTCGTCAATACATCGTCGTATGCTTGCTTGATTTTATTCCTGGATATTCGCGTTAACTTATATTTAATATTTGAATAATTTATTTAAATATAAATATAAATTCGAATAATTTATTTAAATATATATTTAATATTTGAATAATTTATATTCGAACATTTGAATGCAAGTTATCTGAACTTCAATGTTGGAATTTCGGTGTCTTTTCAGACTCTCGAGTAGTATTAAATTAATTATAATCGAGGTAATTAATTTATTTTCCATCACTAAGATTTAGAGAATTTGATTTCATTTTTAATATTTACTTAGAGATTAGTATAATAGAAATATTCGAATTCTCAATATTCCAAGTGTGATGATATGACAAACATGAGTCATTGGGACGGTCGTTACAAATGAGAAAAATAAGTTTTGTTGCAAAAGTTTTAGTTTGTGTTTCCCTTGGAAATGATGTTGATCAAATTCTATACGCTCCGACTAACTTAAAACAAAGTTACAATCATTACGATTAGAATCGTTGGTTGATCATTATTGAGAAATATTTTCTTTTTTTATATTTAAAATAATAATAATCGGTAAAACTATTAACTAAATATTTGATTTAGATTGATCACCAATAGATGTTACTTTTTACACGATTGTGAAATCATTCGTGCAACAATTTAATATTTTCACAATGAATCGATTAGAATACAGTCGTTGGACATTGAATCTACTAAAATAATAATAATCGTTATTAAGCCTCCGCTTCATTTCGCAAACAAGCTTCATTTCCTCTCCACATTGACGCGAAAGAAGAAAAGAAAGGAATCTTTCTTCCAACAGACGACAATCTCTGCGGCCTGAACCAGCAGCTTCAAAACCCAACGGTGAACAGGATAGCAGAGTTCCTGTTAATAAGTCACTCGACCTACGCCCGTCAATTTTTGTCGCTGAAAGACGAGATCGAGGACGGAGCGACGGAAGCGAAATCCAACATCGAGTACCTTCGGATCTTGATAGATCCTTCCGCAGAATTGGATAAATGCACCACGCCATCGAGCATCGAGGAACACCTGATGTTAATCATACACTTGTTCAGAACAATCTGGCTGAATTCACCGTTCTACAACAGCCACGAGAGGATAGAGAATCTGTTCAAGGCTCTCAATAATCAGATTATCATCATCTGTCGAAATTACATCGACTTGAGGGAGGTGTTTGCCGGCAAGACCCGAAGCTCCATAGAAAAGTTCGAGGAGTGCGTGAACGTCTGTGAGAATTACAAATCGCTCTACGACAAGGTTAATATTAATCTGTCTGTTTCTACTGAGTATTTGAATCAAAGAAAATCAGGAGCAAAACTGGCTCCAAGTATTCTGAAAAAACTGAGAAATTTGTCGTTTAGAATCGATAATTGGATGCAATACACTTGCTTTCTGTGATCAAAAATCAAATTATTTGCTAAAAAAAAAAATATATATATATATATAGCAATGATACATTTTAATTTTTTCACTATAATTAAATAGATAGTGTTACTTTGTCAGATCAGTTTCAAGTTTTATAAAGGGTATACTCAATTTCGATCATTCATGGTTCTATTTCTAAACACAATTATTATTTATATTATTATTGTTATTATTATTTGAACAACTGGATGCTCAAATTATTAAAATTCAAATTCAGCTCAACTATTAATCAACTTAATTACCATCTCAAATTAGATATTAACTATTAGTTATTTGACAGTACTTTTTTACCACTAAATTCTGAATGATTTCGTACATATTTTTAATTGGATAAATCCAATATAATGGATAAGATGTAGCAAATATCATTTGTAACAAACAGTTGGATACTCAAATTCTTAAATTCAGAAATTTGAAAACCTCGATCAATTGGTCAACTCAATTATTAACTAATCAAGCTAATTAATTTATCGTTATCGGACAGTTACTTTTCACCACTAGATTCTGAATAATTTTCCAGATCTAGATAGATCTAGATAGTTCTAACGACATCGTACAAGCTCACGTTTATAGAGGAAGTTGTCCACAGTCCACTTTTGTTTGTAAATGCCTCTCGTGTTCTTCGTTAATCGTTCGATAATCAATTTCTTTTTTTTTTCTTTCTGAATATATGCGCACACACGCTCAATTTCGATCATTCATGGTTCGATTTAGATTTTAAACATAATTATTATTTATATTATTATTTATGTATATTTATATTAACATAATTATTATTTATATTATATTCTTGACCATAATGAATAATATTATTTGAACAACTAGATGCTCAAATTATTAAAATTCAAATTCAGCTCGACTATCAATCAACTCAATCATCTCAAATTAGATATTAATATCCACTTTAATTTGTTATTAAAAATATTAACTATTAGTTATTTGACTTTTCACCACTAAATTCTGAATGATTTCGTACATATTCTTAATTGGACAAGACATAGTAAATATCATTTGTAACAAACAGTTGGATACTCAAATTCTTAAATTCAGAAATTTGAAAACCTCGATCAATTGGTCAACTCAATTATTAACTAATCAAGCTAATTAATTTATCGTTATCGGGCAGTTACTTTTCACCACTAGATTCTGAATAATTTCATACAACTTTCCTGCAGATCTAGATAGCCTTTCCAACGACATCGTACAAGCTCACGTTTATAGAGGAAGTTGCCACAGTCCACTTTTGTTTGTAAATGCCTCTCGTGTTCTTCGTTAATCGTTCGATAATCAGTTTTTTTTCTTTCTTTCTTTCTGAATATATGCACACACACACACACACACTCTCGGAAGATTGTTTGAACGTCGGCCGTGTTATCGCGTACAAATTCACTCTACGGTCGGTGCATTAAGGGACTATTAAACGACGTGTGCAGAGTTACTTTGGATACTTAGGAAAGAGCCGTTAGGCAAAGTGAGGAGTTCCCGCGTTAAGCGGAAGTCACAGTAATTGTACCCTCGCTTTGGCCGGTTCACAATGATCCGCCATGAACGCGGGAACACGGCTCCTACTCCCTGTTAAAATAATATTCGCCGAGGCGAGCGGCTCGAGCCTGCAATTAATCTTATCTTCCTTTAATCACGGCGAATCGTGGTAAAACAACGCGCGAGCGCCCGCGCCACGTGCAAATGAGCGTCGAAGTATTCTTAATCCCCTTGGCTGGTAATTCTCGTATTATCGGCAATTAACTGAAAAATCTGTTGATGGAGAAATAATGATGGAAACCGATTCGGTGGATGTTCGGTGCATATTTACGGAGGAGTTAAAAAATATTGAAAGTAAAACTTCTCGATACGATATTTCAAAGGTGGAAGATTTCCGTTTCTTTGATTGCCTTTTCGTTAAAATGTAAAATTGCATAAAGATTCGTAGTTTAGTAGTGTACAAATACTTGCACTGCCTACCAGTGAGAAGAATGAAAAATTGTCGATAATTTACTAACTAGTTTGTGAACTTTGTAAAAAGGTCGATCATCCGCTTCGTGTCACTTGAAAGCGTGTCTACTTTGACAGTGAGTTCGTTTTTCTTCAAAGATGAGTTCGTTTTTCTTCAAAGATGATGTTGAAAATGAAAAATGAAAAGTTCTAGGAATTCTAATATTTTGTCATTCGATCCTAAAGTTCAACGAAACGTGAACGTTTGAAATTTCAAAAGAATTGAACACTATTTTACTAGCCACTGAAAATGAAAATCTGTCGCAAATTTATATCTTTGAAAATGTATCTAAAGAACTATAATCTCAGAAGAAGAAAAAACGCAATATAAAATACAGTATCGATTTCCACAGAGAGAACTTTACCCGGGATTTTATTAATTTAGAATCGAAGTAGAATTTCACCCTGGCCGAAGGCTACGATCGTATCGGATTAGGTATGGATTTTTGGATTAGGTTAGAAAAATAGGTTGAAAGATATAAGCCGAGAAAGCAGGCAGACGTTCAAAAATAATTTGTCAATCCCAGGATTAACGTTTTATCCCTGGGTGCAACGAAGGTGGCGTGTTGTCGCCTGATGGGGGCGGTTCTCTGAAACCGGGTCAAGTTTTCACGTTAAGCGGAAGTCATAGTAACCTCGACTTAGGTGCCCGTGTGGTTAGATAAGCGTCGACAGGAACGAGAATTACCACGGGCCACGTATTGTATAATAGTTGCTCTCGCCATCTGAAAATGCCGAAATCATGATAAAAATTAAAATCATCAATTACATGATTTCGTCGGTGAAAGATTTCAACGATTATATATTTCCAAGTTGTTCGTAAAGGATTGAGAAATCTGTATTTTATTTGCAAAACGAACGAACATTATTATCACTTCCTCTTTTCACTGTTCAA